GTGACCGCGTCTCCGCCGGTAACGCGAGAGCGCGCGGACGCGTTTACGTGTGCCGTTACATGTACGCGCGCGCGACGCCGACCACCACCACCCTCCGGGAGGACGCGACGCCTTTGCCCGCGGGAGCGTCGCTCTGTCTGCCGTCGAACCGACTTTTCTCTCTCGTCTCTTATAATAGTTTTCGACCACGTGTGTCGGGATCTAGATCTTCGCGCTTTCGAATCCGCGACGATCGCCGAGAGATAATCGCGCGTCGCTTTATCTGTCGATCTTATCGTTGCTCGGCCTCTTCCGCGTTCTCGAAATCGCTCGATCGATCGCGGAAACGTGTCGCGACGACGCTCCGTTCGCCGGGTACCATGCCGGAGATGTTCGTTTTCGCGCGTGTCCGTTCGACGAGGATACTCTCGAGTCGGATGACCAAAGGACTCTACCGTTCGAAAATACGCTAACACGAGGAGGAAACGCGTTCCGCCGATATGTGGCCGACGATGACAACTGTCCGCAGGCCGGTCGAGTCCGTCGCTTTTATGGGGATAGCCGAGCACGCTGTCGCGGCAGCGGGACTCGCCGTTCGCGTGTGTGTGCGTACGCGCGTTTACGCGCCGCCGTGTATAGTGCGCGCACGCGCGAACACGGCTTCCTTTATCCGTACGAATAGAATATTAGCCGTCTAGGCCGCGTCGAGATGCATATACGCGAAGGAAACCGACAGAGAACAGGGATTAACCGAGAGAACCCGTGTCGTCCGGTGCGCGATACCTCGATCGCGGTGGGTGTCGCGAATGACTGTACTGTCCAAGAGGTGTGCGAGAGTGCGCCGCGCGTGTGGGTGCTCTGCCCCACCACCGGTCGACCAGTCACCACCACTATCGCGATTACCACCACCATCGCAGGCCGTGCACACCGCTCCGCGCAGCGGCGAATACACCGGTATCGGAGACCGCCGACCGTGGAACGTACGCTTCTTCGCGTTTCGTCATTTCACCCACACTCGGATTATTGGAAACGCTTGTATCGCGTTTATCTCGCTGTTCGCTTGTCATTTTTGATAGGGCTCTCGTCGTTCTTCCTTCGGCTATCTCGAGAGATCTTAACGTGCCCACGCGAGCTCAACCGACGCCTTCGGTACCTGACCCTTAACGCCACCCCCTGACATGCGGAGCGACTAACGAAATCTCTCGCGAACGGACACCGAACCTCTTCACGAATTTCAACTTCGAACGAGAAATTAGTCGTACTCCTTTTAAATGTCTAATTATGTAAATAAATCCGGATGCATGACTTTTGGTCGATGGACTTAATACCAAACGTCCACATATGTATCCTCACTATTCATTCTCGTGATATAGCTCCTGCTACATTTAATATATGATACGTCTACAAGACTTTTGTTCACTTTTGGAACACCCTGTATATCTTGTGCTTTCGATCGATAATTCAATGATAATTTAGATACCTGTCTATAATTAGCTAGAGATACGCGTGAGCCACCTTCCACTCGTTTCATCGTTGCTAAAAAGTTTGGAAAATTTTATCGCGCAAAAGTAAGACCACGACAATGAAAAACACGAATTCTTTGGCGAGGCGAACAGACTTAAACGGTGCATTTTTTTGCGCCATCAAGTAAACTAGCTCTACAAAGTCTCGTTTTACATTCGCTCTTAATACATACTGATGAATATTTTATACGCTCTGGCGCTGTTTTACGCGAGTTTCCAGCAACACAATATGGTAGACCTGATTAGCGATCTTCGGAAAAAAGTCAAAAGTAAATTGCTCGCGACGGAATTCTATGGGAGCAGAAGCAGCTTTACTACTTGCTTAGGGCGGTGATATAACGCGATAAAAATTAAAAGCGCGGAGTGAAATGGCGGATTACAAAAACGGGAGGTATAAAGTTCTCGAGGAAATATAAGGTGCTAGAGAGGAGAAGCTTGTAACCAACAGGTGGTTACGTTGTAGGGAGAACCATGAACTTTATCATAAGTCGTTATGTCGTCGCATGTCACATATCTATGCATAATGCTACCGTGAATGTATCGCATCAGTTAGGAGAGCAATATCGAACGAAAATACAATCGAATACATGACTCTAAGAATGTTCGGTACTGCGCTCTATCCGCAGCAATATAGCAAAAGGCATCAATGAAACCACAATCCCGGTGGTTTCCAATTCGCCTCGTTGATTCCCAACACGCGTCGAAATGACGTGCTCGGTTAAATGCGTTCTACTCGATGCAAATCCATCGTATGCCCGTCGCATAAATAAAAACCCTTGAGTAACGCATAATCGATATTTGTAGATCGATGAAGCAGCGTTTAAACATAGAAATGCTCCTGTCGAGCAGTCAGAGTATCCCGAAATCCGAACTGAGGAAATCAACGAGCCGACTATGTCCTTCTGAAATCACGGTAATCTAAAAAGGAACGGCTATAACGTTATCCTCTGTTACGGTGACGGATTGGGAGCGGCAACGGCAAACCCGTTACGAAATCGTCCCTAAGACGGGGTGACTAATTGCTAAGCGGCTTGTAAAAATTCGCAGGACAGTCTGTCGACATCGTGGCGCGGTCGTCCGATCGTGGTCGTCGCGCTGTTATACTTTTTGCCAGTGTGCACGCTCGACTAGAAAAGAGAGTGACGAAGAGAAGGATCGAACGGGTGGAGGAGTTGTGTGGGGTCGGAGAAGGGGCAGACGGGGTCGGAGGGGGTTGTCGGAGGACTGGACCGGGGCGAGGAGAAACGTGTGCGTGCGAGGCCTTAAGGTGAGAAAAGAAAAATGGCGAAGAGAGGCCGAGGCTGCGTCGTCCGCGCGCTCGAAGGCGAGAGGGGACGGCGCTTTCGCAGATTCCACGTGAGATACCTGCGGCATTCTTCGTTCTGCACCGGGCATTAAGCCGGATGCACATTCGTCGTGGACGACGCTCGCTGAATTCATTTCCAAGAAAAATATCTTCCGCCTCGAAACGAATTTTACGGCAGATTTTGTTCGCGGCCCGCCACAGAGGACGCTTTCTTCTTTTTTTTTTACTTTCGAGGGACACGAGCGAGGACCGCCGAGGAACCGGCAATAAAACATCTAATCCGACGATAAACCGCGCGTGATTCTTCCCCCGAGACGTTTACGCGTCTCTGACACCGTTCGTGCGCGCGACTGATGCGCACCAAATCGAACGCGATCCTCTGCGCAGCCCTCGCCCCGTTCTGATTGGTCGACCGATCGCGAGCGCGCGCATGCGCTCCTTTGAACTTTATTTATTTGTCAACTTATTCAAATAGTTGCCTTGTTAATCCTCTATTACCACTAGCTGTTCAATGAACTTACACTTCGAGGGGTAAATTTTAAAGATAATACAAATTTAAACCTGATATCGAAAATTAAAGAAGTTATAATTCCTAACTCGACGCAAAAATAATGAAATAAAATATAGTCATCTGTTTAAACAAATACTCCATCGAGCGATGAAATCATTTCCGAGCTCCTCCCCAATTATTTCGAAAAAGCGTACCGATGCGACGAAAGGAGTTTTAGCAAAACATATTATGTAACCTCTCGTACGATCGTCGTGAAAGAACGAAAGAAAGAAGAAGAAAAAGACGCGAGGAGAATTCCGTATTTTGCAAATAATTATGGAAGATGATTCACTGAGAACCGTGTCATTGTCAACAAGACTACCTGCCGATTGCGTCATCCGCATGCGAATTAATTTCGCAATTTCCCATTATAATCTTAATGCTTTTTGGTAGGTTCGAGTTTAATGGGCACGCATCGTTCGTCCGGCTTCGACCCCGTTTACGATTCCCAAAATAGAGCCGTAAAGGTGTAATCGACGTAACAAAGATTTACATTACCGATCCCTTATATCTGCGAATCCTCTCTTCACATTTCAATGAATTCACGTTACAAGGTTCAGTACTAGCATTTTGTAAGATTCGAATGCTAGAGAGGAGTCTATGATTCAAGGGGAGATTACGATGGAGGGAAAGAGTGGAACTAGGAAGTGGCCTGAACTTAGAGTGTAACGATAAAGAAATGTAAACAGTGCAATTTAACCCTTTGCGCTCGAGAGGTGACTCTCAGTCACCGTTTTGTTTAATAAAACAATTTGAAATAATTATTTTTTAACTGATTTTTTAATACGACACGTGTGATGTATAAACACAGTGAAACGAACAAACAGTGGAAATTATTAGTAGAGAAATAATAACCTCAAAAGAATTCATTTAACTTTGTAACTAAGTTTTAAAGTTGCCGTTTGCAAACAGTCAAATTATCTTCAAAGGGTTAAAAAACCAAGTATTGTACAACATAGTCGTTTCGGAACGTATGTAAGATGCGGTTAGGAGCGGGGGTGTACACACGTAAGTATGTCCGAAGGTAACGAACGAGTGGGACGACAATAATCAACGAAGGGTATAAGAGGAACAAGCTAATACTCGAGCCAATAAGAAAACGAATCATGATAGATGGTAGAGAAAGAAGAAATGAAATAATACTCGGATGGCTAAAGGAGAGGGATATATTTGGCGTGCGCCGACAATACCGAACACCCTGCATTCCTACGGGACCGACAATGAGCATTGTGCGATCGTGTCTGCGTTATAGGCGAGCAACGTCGAGCTTGACTTTATTTCTCCGGTCCCTCTCGGTCGCATAGAGAAAGGGATATCATTGTTAAAAGGGACCAAGCGAAGGGTCTACGAAGCGTTACATCCGCTCATCCGACGTTGAATAGAAATACTCCTCCACCTCCTATCTCTTCCTCTCTCGTCTCTGTTCCCTCTTCTTTTTTGTGGTCCCTGTTATGGTGGTGGCACCCTAAGTCGCCAAGAATCTATTAGATTTGTCATAGCCGCGCTACGTGAATAGTCCTCGGTCAGATGATCCCTTAACACCCTTTTTCTCCCTGTCTCTCTTTCATACGCTTTCTTTCTTCCTTCCTTCGACCTCCTTTTTTTCCTTTCGTTCGCCTGTTGTCAGACGTACCTGCGAAAACGCAAAATGCAGCGTCAGAATCCGATCGTAAAGCCGTGCGCCACAAAAGGAGGGCTCCGATAATTCCTCGAAGTAATTGAGTTTCTTCTTGTTTCATTGTGCGTGTGGTCTCGCGCCACAATTGGACACACGACCAGACCGGACAACAGTGATAGAGAATTGAAATAAATCATTTTTTCCAGCCTCTTTGTGCGTCCTGATATCCTCTCACGATTTCTATCTGCGGGATCTTTATATTGTGCTCGATCAAAATCTTGCTGGTAGACATCTTTAGGTTCTTCTGCGATCCGAACTTCTATGTCTTCGATTTCTGCAAACTTAGCGATTTGCGAATTCACAAATTTGAATTTCTCTTAAGATTAGCGGTCGATCGGGACAAGTGACCTGCTCGATAACTTAATAAATAATTTGTTAGTAACCGTCGAGGATATTAAATCGACTTGTATCTGATCGAACTTCGTTCAAGAAACGCTGTTGAATATTAATGTAAGAAAGTGAGTGAGCTCATCGGCGAACATTTAGCGCAGTTTTTCGAACGGTTCGACTGCAACGGGCAAAATAAATCTTGCATCGATACTTTTTTTCGCTTTCACTGAAGAGACTCGGCAGGCAAGAGAGCGGGTTGCTAGGTTCGTCAAGATTTTATTGGCCGTCGAGCGGGGACGTATAAAACACCATTTATATTCAGTGTATTTCACGCACTCGTGTGGTAACGTTCGTCCAGTAAAAATTGCCTCGACGAGATTAGCCAACGTTACGAAACGGTACTTCTCTCTTCTAAACCCGGTTGCAAACGTTATTTTGCAACGGAGACTCGTCCCGTGTCACATTCGCTCGACAATTTTCCTATCGTATCGTTCGATAAGATCGAATAAAACTATATGAAACGTGCCAGTCAGACTAACGATACAGTTATACTACTGAAAGAATAGATCCATACTATCTTCGCGTTATCTGCTCCACGTCTCTTAGGAAAACGATAGATAAACTCGGAACGATATTTGCAATAACGGTACGGTTTGCGTACAGTTTCTTACTACATTTTGTGAAGAAGCTGTACAGTTGGAAGCTGATTTGAGAAAATAGAGATTCAGCAAATTTGATGATCTGAACTTCCATCTTAAACTTCAAACTTGAACTTCCATCTTGAACTTCCATCTTAAACTACAAACTTGAACTTTCATCTTGAACTACAAACTTGAACTTTCATCTTGAACTTCCATCTTGAACTACAAACTTGAACTTTCATCTTGAACTTCCATCTTAAACTACAAACTTGAACTTCCATCTCAAACTTCCATCTTAAACTTTCATCTTGAACTTCCATCTTAAACTACAAACTTGAACTTCCATCTCAAACTTCAAACTTGAACTTCCATCTTGAACTTCCATCTTAAACTTCCATCTTAAACTTCCATCTTGAACTTCCATCTTAAACTACAAACTTGAACTTCCATCTCAAACTTCAAACTTGAACTTCCATCTTGAACTTTCATCTTAAACTTTAAACTTAAACTTAAATCCTAACCAATAGTGTATACATTGTAAATATATCGTCTTCAATATTCTCTATCCTTCTACCACATCAAACTTCTCGAGTGCCATACAAATACACTTTGTCAAGATTCAATCCCCATCGAAAATCCTCGTTATGGGAACCACTGTAATTTACGAGAGGACAATTTGGGCTCGTCCCATGTACCTTGCACAATCAAATCGTGCTTCCGCACTCGATACCCGGATTATCCGTGGGTCGTACGATGGCCAGGTGAAACTACCAAAGTAGTAGTAACTTTATTCATCGTGGCAGCGTCCGGTTCAGTTTTTCGTAGAACTCTGGCCATTGTCTTGGAGATTAATGGTGCCGCGGAAACCGTTCATCCTGCCTTTCGGCGGGAGAGCCGAAAGATTTCGCTCCTTTTGTGCGACCAACCACGCTTCTTCCTCTCGATCCCTTCTTTGCCGGTGAGAAGATGGGGTGGCCCATTCAATGCTCTCCAACGGCACGAAATTAAGTTTCTCGGGGTGAATTTCGTTTGATCTTTCGGTGCTCCGTCTATTCAATGGGAGAGAGCTGTTTCCCTAGGATTTCTTAATTGGTTGGGATATTAATCGTGTTTGATATATCGACTGTGAAGCTTCGTCGTGTTCTGCAGGGACATTGTCGTGGGATCATCCTTAGATTAGAGTCATTCCTGGACAAGTCTATTTAACCTACTCTCGTCTAAACCTACATTAAACCTAAACCTACCGGCATATAGTGTATACTTAATGTGAAATTAAAAATGAAGTTAAAAAATAAATAAACAAACGACGAAACATAAAATAGAACATACATTTATTCTTCATCGCGATGAAAATCAATGCGAATTACAAAAAATGTACTTTAACAAAATGTGTACCTTATAATCGGAAACTCGTGGAGTGGTCATTTGACCGGTTTGTTAGTTTTAGTGCTAAATCTTGTTAATTTTGCAAACCATTTTCACTCATCCCTTAAATGTCTAAGTGACATCATATTCCCAAATAATTCGCGTATTTGAAAGTCACTAGATCTCTTAATAAAACCTGAAACGTTTTCTGAAACACGAGAAGACGAACGGGTGTGGGAGCCACTGTACCGAACGCGTTCGAGCGGACGACGGGCCAAGAGGGAAGAACAGGGTCGTACAGAATTTTACAGTGCGCTACAAGGTGTAAATAACGCCGGAGCCACTATATACAGTCGGCACAGGAAACCTCGTGGTACGAATCGGTTTACGACCTTCCGGCGCCTCGAGACACCTGCCCGCACACCTCTCCTCAGCCTCTCACCTTACCGACCGCTTCTCCCGCTGATTCTTGAAAAATACTTGCCCCTTCCACCACGTACTGGTTCATTCAGGTAAACCCGGCTGTTGCTGAATGCGAGCAGACCTTGATCACAGCTAGGGAACTTGGAATTTTTCGAACGGGCCTCTTGATTTTGCCTTCGAACCTTCGTCATGCACTTTCCTCCTTTTTTAAACGCTATGCCTTCGCTTGACATTATAACTTATTTACTGTAATTATAATTTTAACTCTTATCTGCATAGACGAAGGAACCGTCAGAGTATCAACCGCCTTATCCCAGTATGTCAACCATTTTACCTCGACGTGTCAACCATCTTACGCAACAGTCAGACAAAATGGCGAACGCACGAATTAGTTTCTAATTTAAGTCCAAGGGTAACTATTCCGTATTGATAATATTGATTACATTATTTCAATCTTACATTACATTATTTTGCTGAAATATTGCATACCAAATAAAAAAATTGCAGATATTTTCGTTCAGTATTGTAATCGTTTCACCCTGATCTCTCTTGCTTTAAGATACAACCTTGACCGGATAAGGGTTAAAGCATCCGGGAAATAAACGAACGCGAAAAACGACAAGAAACATAGCTCGTACGTTGTTCGAATGTTTCTCGAACGCGTGACGATACGTCGCGGCGAATATGGAACTCGAACGGCAGAAAAATCCGCTCTGGTCGATAGCGTTGTTTTATTTACGACGTCCAGACAAATTCATTACGATAAACGGCGGAATAAAAACAGTCGCGGCGTGCTGCTGCAGTCCCCGGCCAACGAGGTCAATTAATTACGGCGCCAAAGAGGAAAAATTCAAATGAACACAGTGCCGACGCTATGTTTTTCTTATTGCCGGTAAACACCAGTTTCTGTCGTCGTGGATGTCGTCGCGTTAAATAATGACCAAGTACGCGGATTGAATTGTCCATTACAGGCTGCTAACCAACGAATTTCTAATACGCTAATCACACACGCTACTCGGGTAACAATTGCTTCCACTTTGTCAATTACAACGATTTCACGTGGCTTTCTCACAGTAATGCGGACGTAACGCGACACCCTGTAATTTACTGCGAGTGAAATCGGTAATTAGCATGTTCAGCATACAAAATCGAAGGTGGCCTCTAGTGAGAGTGTTTAGAGGAAGAGGTCTAGGGGAAATTTTGGAACTAACTGGATTCTAGGATCTAGACGGATTGTAGGATCTTTGGAACTACTTAACGAGAGCTACAAGGAGCTTAGGTCAATGACTCGAGTCCTAGGGAAATCTTAGGAGTGTAGGTTCTAGAGGAATCCAAATGGAACCTGAAAAGTAGGGACATCCTACGACTCATAGAGTGGCCAGAATCTAGAGTACCACAGAAGCTGAAGATCCTAGAGAGAATCCAAATTCTAGAAATAGATTCGAACAAGGACCTAAAGGCAAGGAAGCACTCGGTACTTAGCAAGGGCCTATAACATATGGGGCTCTTAATAAAATCTAAAGTGTCAGAGCCAACCAGGAACCTCGTCCTGCATTCTAGAGCTCGCTAATCAAGACCAAATGTAAAGCGCTAATGTGACGTGTCGCGACAGGCTCTCGTCGCAAATCGATGCGAACAATGTTTTGTTTACGTCTCGCCCGAGAATAACATCGGTGCCGAATGCAGAAACCGTGTACAACCATAACCTCGTTTTAGGCACGCTCGAAATTTTGGCGCACACCGGACATGACCATATATACATAAGTTTCGTAGGTAGGGGCGCGTAGCTAAGAATCTGTGTCATGTCGCGTAAACGTACTATAATAATAATACACTATAAATACGCTTGAGTAAGAAACGCACTGTCCGCGAGGCGGAGGGAGAGGGAAAGTATATGCAGGCGCCGGCGCCGGCGGACGGGTACATTACACGCGCCAAGGAAGTATTATCCGTCCCACGTATACAACGTACTCGCTTCTTCCTCTCTTTGTCCCTCCCGTTCTTCTTCCTACGTTTTCCACTCTCTTACCTCGTTGATTCTCTTCGTCGTTTTACCTCTCGCTCGCGCCGTCTTCCTCTTTCCCGTCTCGACGATCCTTTTTTTCTTCTCTTCTTTCCGTTCCCACCTCGATATGTCCCTCCCTGTTTTTTCAACGGTCTGCGGATGTCTGTCTCTCTTCTTCGATAACTCTAGGGGCGACTTAAGCCCTGTACACACCTGCGCGTGTTAAAATATTGTACGACGTTTGTATGCGTTGTATTCTGCGCGTGTTTATCCGCTACAAGTCCTGCTTATCATCCGTTACATCGTCTCACGTTGCATAGACACATGTATCCTCCGAGCGTGGCATTTGTCGCGTGTATTGTACGATAATTGTACGCGGAATACAGTGCTCGCGATATTTGTCGCGTACGGTAATTGTCGCGTGTCGTCTGTTACGTGCGGTATTTGTCGCGTGGTATTTCCTGCGCGTGAGATTCGACACACGCGATATTTCTCACACGGTAATCCCTTGTGGTATTTCTACGTGCGATGCCTGTCGCGTCATATTTGTCGCGCGCGGTAATTGTTGCGCGCTGCATTTGTCGCCTATGATATTTTACTGCGTGTGACATTGGTCACGCGTGGTATTTTCTATGCATGGTATATATCACGTGTGATGTTTTGTACGCGTAGTAATGCGCAATGTCTCATTCGATAATTGTAGCATACGGTAATTGTCGTACGCTACATTTATCGCAAGCGGTGATTGTGTATCTACCTCGCATCACGATTACGCGCGTCGTATTTCGTATGCAATGACGCACAGAGTAATTGTCGCATGTGTTATTTCCTACGTGTGGTATCATTGCACGTATTAAGCGCTTCAGGTCATCTTCACCAAACTGCAATTTAGATAGTATCCAGGTGTGAATAGAACTTAAGTCTCGCGCCAAACTGACCGGATCACGGGCGCCGTCCCTTGTAACTGGCTCGGTTGAACGACCAACCGGCTCGATCTCATCTTTCCATCCCCGTGCTCTTCCTATTCTTGTTTTCATCGTAGCGATCGAGCTAGGACGACGCTCGTTAGACGCGAAATCGATCTTAATTTCTCGGAGTTTGAATGGCCGCGCGAAACCGAGTCGCGTATCGGCTTCGTCGTTGACCACTTGTCAAGTGTCCCGGCGTCGTTCGATTCAGATATTCAGCGGTGAAGCTGGTTTTAAGGGGAGCTAGACGGGTTTTAGAAAGCAGACGCGATATTTATGACAACGTTGCTCGTTGCCTTTTCTTTTGCCGCTATTTACCCACTGGCCGGACAGACGTACTGCCTCGCGTCGTAAATCATCCACCGGGAAGAAGATAAAATGTCGTTCGTTAAAATTTTGTTTTTGATAAACTAGTTCCACGGAATCCGTTCCCGTCCTGCAATACGGGCTTCTCCTTTTCTTCCTTGTTTCCTCCTTTTGCGAGAACGCATGACGCATGGCTCGTGCTGGCTTCTTCCCGGCTCCGCAGGTTCCGAGTGGTCTAGACTTCGACGGCCAGACGTATCCTCGTGATATATCGTTCTTAAGGGAGGAACGTGAGAAATCTTTGAATATGCGAAACCGTACGAGGTGTTCATGAATATATTTAGCGGGTCTTTCGAAAATCGAATAGATTCTAGCTCGTTTTCGAACGCAAATAGAAACTGACACACCTGACATTGCTATGAAACGAATGCAGATGTCATTAGGTTTGTGTGATATTGGCTAAATTTCATGCGTGTTACGCAATCCATTTACTCCTTATTAAACTTCACAAATTTTCTTATTTGACTGTCAAGTGCATCAATAATTATATGTCAATTATCAGTCAATTATCACAGTTAATATTTTTAACCTTCAGTCAACGCCAAGTACCCTTAATGCTATGGAGGATTTCACAGCTTTGATCTTACAGTATTTATTAAAATATTGAATTAAATAAATCAGAAAAATTTGTTCCGAAACTTTCTCTGCTGCATATAATGTCACCCAACAATTTCCGAGTACAACTCTCACTTCACTTTCCCACGTTTCGTAGATTCCTAAACCATTCACACTCTACTACCATGATTACACCACCGATATTATAACTGGTCAAGGTACATTGCAGCTAATTTTAATATCAGCTTCTCGATCCGCGAACGATCTTCGTTTTATCGCGTGCTGCTTAAGCTTCCATTTTTCTAGCCTCGGAGTGCCTCCATCTATCAACGACAACGAAACCGACAAAACAGCAGAAATAGAGAACAAATAGGGTAAATTAGAACGGAACTTTATAAACACGTTTGTGGACTATTCTGATAATCATAAATAACTGTACGGAAAATTCAAGAAAATCTTGAATTAATTTTACATTAATTCTGAATGTAAGTCTAGACTTTTGCTATATCGTCGGTTTCATGCGGACTTTCATGGGCATTTCCTATACGTTATATTATCCACGCGTTATATCGCCACTGCATTCGCTACTGACGTTTCTTGCGCATCGTATAACCACACGTTATATTTCCTACACGTCGTATCACCATGCGCTGCAACTACTATGCGCGGTATTTCCCACGCATTGTATTTGCTACGCATTATTTCTCACGCTTTATATCGCCACGCGTGGTATTTCCCACGGACTGTGTTCGCAACGCATGGTATTTCCCACGTACTGTATTTCCTACGCGTCGTATAACCAGCGCCTCATATTGCCGCTCGTCATATCGCCACGCTTGTATCGAAAACTTTCAACAATACCCACGTACAATATTAAGATTGGAGTACTCGTCACGCGTACCACTTTCGGCAACTCCGGTACATAAATTTCCCACGGACTGTGTTCGCAACGCATGGTATTTCCCACGTACTGTATTTCCTACGCGTCGTATAACCAGCGCCTCATATTGCCGCTCGTCATATCGCCACGCTTGTATCGAAAACTTTCAACAATACCCACGTACAATATTAAGATTGGAGTACTCGTCGCGCGTGCCACTTTCGGCGACTCCGGTACATAAATATGAAATACGCGTATGTAAATAAAGCGTGTATAACATATGCGCATAATCACTCTAAGTACACACCCTGAGCGGATCCAAGCTTACGTGTTTGGAGCAGAAATATTCGCCCTTCTGCATCCACAAATATATATACGTCCGCGTGGATCTATTAGTCCACGCCTCTGCCGCACACGCGTTCTCGCATCAGATGAGATTATCGCGAAGCGTACAGTAATGCTAGAACGCTTTGAACTTTTCGTCTCGAGCCTGTCATTCCCGGAATCGTATCGATACATCTTTCGACAGCGTAAACGATAAAACGACGTACGTGTGGGCTGGTAAACAAACGTTACTTCGATAAAACAGCTGCAGCGTCAGTGGTGATTTCTGAATTATGGCAGTTGATCGAGAACGTGTTTGAACAGACGGTTTCAGACTTGCGAACACACATATTGCTATGAATTTTTTATTATCCAGTGTTTTCTATCAAATTAGTCAGATTTTCTTATCCTCGGTAGGGTTCTAGCTTTTAAACTTCCCTTAGACTATAAGCTCTTTAAGATTTTCTTCTGAATCTTATTGTCGCTTCCTAGTCTCCAACAGCTTCTAGGAACCAAGTCAGAGTTTCTGTGCATCTTAAAAATTTTCTAAGAGTTTAGGCTATGTCCAGATTCTTCTAAGTTTTGTTTCTTCTTGATCTGGAAATAATGGAAAACATCTGCCCCCACGTATCCCTTTAATCCCTAAACTTTCACAACGTGGAATTGCATAAAACCAGCCATAAAAACAAAATGTCACTGTGTCACCATAACAAAAGGCACGATACTTAATGTCGCTTAAAAACATACCTTCGAAGTAAATTGCATCGTAATCCGCCTTCACCTATTTGTAGATATAAATAGAACATTTATTGCAACTGTTTCGAAAGAAAATACTTAATAACGAGACAGGTTACGAGTGCACAGAGAACGATGTCTAAAACGAACGTTATATTGCCGTGAACTGTACGTAGCGGACAGGGTATTATTCGTCCCACACGTTCACCCATTACCGACCCTCCCCTCGGCCTTTTTCTCGCGGGCGGCGTTTTAGCCCGTGCGCACGTGTTTATGTAAATTTTCGCGCGTATGCACGTACCGAGTGACTTATACCCTGGCCACGCATCGAAACGTTATTCACGGTGTGAACATTAAGAACGCCGGCCGACGAAAACCACTCGACGCCGGCTCGGCTCGGTTCC